GAGAGAGAGAGAGAGAGAGAGAGAGAGAGAGTAGTAGAGAGTAGTAGAGAGAGAGAGAGAGAGAGAGAGACAGAGGGAGAGAGAGAGAACCACAATTTAAGGGGTGACAATTTCTAATGTAGCATTTCACTGTAGAAAGGCTGTTTTAAGAAATGTGGAACTTCTATGGTAACCCCAAATTTCTGCTTCCTGATGGCAAACACCCCCTTTTAAGGAGTTGAAACTCTTTGAATATTGATATCATACTCATCTTTTGACTTCAAAGGGCTCCTTCCCGTTCTTTAGGAGGTCGGGGCAGTGACTTATCTACCGATCAAACTAATTCAGACTTGCAAGGTCTTGGCCCTGTTCTATTGATTCTTCTGTGTCAAGAATGATTGGTAAAACATGGAAGGTGTAGGTAGGACACATGAGTGCACGTCAGGGAGTTCACATTTCCATTCTGGATTTACCACAGAGATACGATACGGTGGAGATTGGATCAAATAATCTTTGATTGGATCAGATGAAGGTGCACTCTGATGAGCCCATCTGACAGCATTGAAGTCACACCCCACACACCGTAGACCTAAAGACAAGATTGCTTTGTTCACTTCAGGGAGTTCACTTTCGCATTCTGGATTCACCACAAGGAGATACAATGCAGTGGATATTGGATCTTATAATCTTTGATTGGTTCAGGTGAAGGCTAACTCTGATGAGCCCGTCTGCCAGCATTGAAGTCACACCCCACACACACACCGTAGACTTCAAGGCAAGATTGCATTGTCCAATATAACCCAAAAGTATTCTCTAACCTGTGGTTTATTAGGCCCTTATGCTGCTGTAAGCCCCCATTTAGAGTTAGGATCGGACCCTTCAAAAGCTATAAAAGCTGACCATTATCCTTTCCCAAGTAGGCAATTCAGGACCATGTCCCTAAACCACCCATATGCCTTCCAAGACCCCTGTGCCAGGAAAGGGTAATTTTGTTGACCACATGCTATGTCAGGAGCGCATACCGCTTGGCTGGCCTATTTCCCCAAACTGATCTCAGAGTTACACAATCTGGGCTACTTCTCAAGAATGATTAACCGAAGAGTGACTAGAGGAATCTTTTTTATTTTAACAGATAAATTAGTGGTTGAATCATTTCGTAACATACAGTTTCAGGAAGGCAATAAGACGAAGAATTTTTATTGCCAGGCAACAATCCATAGAAACAGTTTCAGAAAAGAAATATGAGTGATACATTTTTGCAACATTAAGAAGCAATCTAAATTGCACCAGGAGAAACTTGAATGATGAACAATTGCACATCCCTCACAGTCCTTTCCCCATAAATTGATATTCCCCATTCATTCATTGAGTGATCTGCCGAAAGTTTGGTTTCTCAACATCAAAGAAATCATCTATCCATGTACTAACTGGAAGAATGCTTTCACGTGTATGAGTCTTTAGTTTTTGAATCATGAAATGCACTGTTCCCTATTGATCAAACCTGAGATGTGGATATTATGCCATATAGCTTAGTAACTTGGAGTGTTAGGCACTTTTCTGATTTTATACCTTAAGTGTATGGTTTCTAAACACCCTGTATCCATTCAAAGAATAATCACTCAAAGAAGCTGCTGAACATTGGTAATTTCCTACGCATTTAAGGAAGAAAACTGGTAACTGAATTTGCAGCTGGTGGAAAAAGGAGATAGAGAAATTATTTACAAACTATCACCTCGTATGCCTCTGTTTAGGTTTGGTTGAACACTAATTGGACTCTTACACATGGCCCTAGGCTTAAAACAATTTAAGATATGGCTATGCTTTTATCTGTACAAGTTCCCCCTATGTGTTTGTATTCCCTCTTGGTTTGTAGGCTAACAGTTGCTCTTATTTGAATGTCTGCTATGCAGTTCTTTTGACAATTAATATTGTCCTTTTTGGGTAATCCTCTTTGTGATTTCTTGTTTTATCTCAGTGAGTTATGTCAGCTTCTTTGGGAGCATGTCTGTGTTAGATAAAAAAATGCATCGTGTTGCAAAATAGGCATAGCCATGTGCTTATTATTGTGCACAAAGTTGCATAAATTGGTAATTTCTATTTTTTTTGTTTGGAGATGCAGAGTGGGATGATGACAAGGAAGATGGAAAAGAAGGCTTGCAGCAGTGGGAAGATGATTGGGATGATGATGATGTTAACGACGACTTCTCCCTGCAGCTGAGGAGGGAATTGGAGAGCAACTCTGAAAAGAGTTAATTCTCTCTCCCTCGACTGTCAATCTCCTTGGATAATGTGTGCTCTGCCTTAAACTACCAGTGCTGCCCTCTTTTGTCTGTCTCAAACACATGTGAAAACAATGGGTGATGTGTAATGTGACTGCTTTGTACTTTGGGAAAATGCTTATAATAGGTCTAAGAGATTAGAAGGAAAAAAAGAGAAAGAAGGAACTTTTTAGCCATTACGACTCGACATTTGAATATTGCTCTACATGATCATGTTCATTGAATCATGCTTATATTCATGGTCATCCATTAAGGTTACTAAAGATAAGGTATCTATGTAACTATGCGAAATGGATGTCTATTATGAAAATGCTGTTGATAGGGCCTGTTTGGCCTCGAAGGAGAAGAAAAAACGAAGTCTTTTACCACTATCACTCGAGATTTGAACTTTGTTCAGCTTGATCATGTCCAAAAAATCATGAGTACTTTGTGATTTTCTGTGAAAGCTAGGCTTGGATATGGCTATGCATAACGGATCTAGTGCCTTTGGCTTAGAAAATAGACTTTTCTTGGGTTTGGGGTATGGGGGATTTGACATTCTGAAATTATGTTCGAAGGTTCATTGAAAATTTAGAGAGGCACAATGGATTCTTATATTTGTGAAATTTAGAGATTGAATGACAAGAAACAAATTGGATTATCATAGATTGTCGTTATTATCATCATCATCATAAAACGATTTTCTCAAGTAATTGGGTTTTGGCTACACGAATTTTGGTATGTCATTTTGTTGTATTAATAACCATATTATTGATACACCATAAAGACTGAATTTCCATATAATAATTTGAAACTAACGCTCATCTACTTAAGTGAGCGTATGAGCATCATGGTTTATTGGTCCATCAATATAGCCATTGAAGGTCTTCCCTTTTTTTTTTTTTAAAGCTAATCGAGACTTCCCAATCAGTACATTACTTACGAGTTTAAGGAAGCCAATGGTGTACGAGCTAGAATTTCCTAGTTCTGAAACATCGAAGAGCTGGAATAGAATTTGGAGAAACAAAAGTAGAGCAGATTAGGGTCTAAAATCAAATTGATGAGGCAAATTGATGGGTTAAAATAAAAAAGTTTTGAAATCAAGAAGATGAGGCGGATCTTGGGTTTGAAATCTAGGAGATGAGACGCATTCATAATGTGAAACATAGAACAAGATGAGGGACCTCAAAGGTTTGATATCAAAGATTGGAGAACCTTTTTTTCACCGAAAGATATTCTATTCCTTCGGGAGTATACTGTCTATTTACTCCCTCGTGTAAACCCCACATCGGATTTTTTTGAGGACCTGAGATCTTGGGGATATAACCTTTCTAGCACATAGGTTAACCTCAATAAAAAACTTTCTAACACATAGGTTAATCTCAATAAAAAACTTCCTAATTGCACCTTTTAAACACTTAAAAAAATAATGTCTCAAGATTGAATGGAAACCGTCCAATTTTTAATAGGTAAGATCTAAGTACTAGAAATTCAAATTTTAATTTTTTTTATTGAGAATAGTCATCTAGTGACTCTAAGTGGTTACTAAAATTTCAAATTGAAAAAATCCTCCCAAGTAGGTCTGATCGAGGCAGTAGTATGAGTGCTCTTCTTCTTCTTTTTTTCTTTTCTTTTTTCCTTTTCTTTGAATTGTATACGGAAACAATTTATTTTTATTAAAATGAGGTCACAATCATTTTCGGTCATTAGATATCAAATTGGAACTTTGAGTCTATCATTTTCTGCCTGTTTTTTGGGGTCGAAATGTTCCATGCCATTGCACAATATAAGAATAAATTTAAATCTCAACCATTACATTTTAGAAGATATGCATGAGATGGTTTGTAGTAAGAAAATCATATTCAAAATATATATTTTACACATCAAATCAATGAAATACATAATGAATGGTTAAGACATGCATTTTCAAAATTTCAAAATACCAAATAGATACAAATAACAACTCCACAATTTATCAAACAAAATTTATAGCTTTCAAGCTATTAATTTTCACTTTCCTCCTGCATTCTAGAAAAATCAGCTATTGAGATTTTCCTAAACAACTATAGAGGGAGTTATCAAACGTACCCTTTCAAGCTATCAATTTTCACTTTCCTCATGCAAAAATCAGCTATTGAGATTTTCCTAAGAAACTATAGAGGGAGTTATCAAACGTACCCTAAAGGATTCACGGGTCTTTTACTCGAGGGAGTAAATATACAATTTGTTCCTGCGACAGCACCAATACATGCTCGGCTATCGTCATCGCCTTTGGACGCTACTAATCGCTCTTGTTAGACCGACGCCCCCCTCACTGAAACCTCTCTCGCGGAATTTCTTCAAAGAGCGAGCGGGCGGACTCCTGATTCATGGTTGGTCCCAAAACCCTAGGCACCGCCATTGAACGCAAAACCCTAGGTGCTACTTTGGTGCAATATCTCAGCACTCACCGGAAAACAGCTGGAAAATATTTTGGCTTAGAAATTCTTGCCAAATCCACATATCCATAAGCAATTTCCGGGAACTGTGAACTTTCAGCAACACCCTGCAAGCCTGTTCTGATCGATCTCCGTGAGCGCATCCAACATTGTCAGCTCACAGTGACTCCCTCAAGGTCAGTAGCTCTCGTTGATTTTCGGATTGATGTAAAGGTTTCAATGGCGGAGGTTCCTTATGTGAATTGGGTTGATGTTGATTGGTAGCTTCAGCTATGAACGTTCATCATCACTTGTGGGTTACATTGATGAGAGAGAGGTCTCTGTGTTAATTGCCTGAGCCAAACAAGATATGATATGCATGAGCCACTAATCTTATGCATGTGAATGCTTTGGCCAAACAATAAAAGCGCATTGCTGCTGTGATATACTAATTTTAAACAAAGTAATATTTTGTTTGGATAGATTTATTTTGCATCCAGACGAGCCCAAAACAAGGCAGCCTTAGGTGAGTTTCTTATCAATGGAGTTTCCTCAACCGGTTCTAAGACTTTAAAGGGGTTTTTGAGATTAACAGAGCTCTCTACAAGCTATAACCAGTGAGTTACTCCCTTTCATTTTCCCTTAAAAAAATGGAGTTCCGTTTCCTTTCCTTTTTTATCTTTTTAAATGTGGAATTTAGTTACTACAACCTAGAATATAGATAGTGTCTAATTGATGCAGGTTCTGAAACCGCAAAAAGTAATACAACTAAAAAGTTTCATTCTATTTTGGCCCCCAATGGTTTTCAATTTCATTGAAATCTATTCTAGTTTCTAGTGTCATACCAATCAGTTCCATAAACCTAAGCTTGTTGGTTTCAGTTGCTTCATGGCCTGAAATAATTCTGAGACCATGCGAATGCATCAATTTTGATTTGACTTCTCCTCATTTTTCTTCCTTTGGGGAAACTGTTGGGAAGGTGATGCCAAATCTCCTCCCATTTGACATACGGTGTTTTCCTCAATGTCAAGGACAATTTTGAGCAAATGAAAAAGTGAATTTTATGGAGCATATAATAGAGATAAAACAAAAAGTGAAGAACTTATTAGGGACAACTCTTACGAGGTAGAGATTGGGAATTTTAGGTTAAAACCCTAGATATCAATGTGCTATATTTTGGGTGGTTGCATTGGTGTTTTCTATTGGTGGCGTATCCATGGAGATGGAGTCAATAATGGAAGTTGGATTGCTGACTCTTTTCTGGTAGTGGAAAGGGAAATTGGTGGTACTTACCAAATGTGAGGTAACCCATGTATTTATCCAATTATTGTAATTCTTCCATTAATAGTGAATTATTTCCATGTAATCGGATTTTGGATTAACCACGTATATTTTGTGTTTATGGTGCTTTGATTATGCTTTGAATCATCAATCGATACCTTCTTTCGAAGTTCATTGGCTGGTAGAGCACTACAAACCGAATTCAATTTGAGAGATTCTTTATTGTTACAACTCAAGGTAGTAACAAGATTATCATAAGATTCCAGTAACAAACATAGCAATGTTACTGCCTTATCTTCGCCATCCATCTTTACCCTGATGCTCTCGAGTTGACGAATAATGTCGTTGAATTCATTCAAGTGTTCGGACACTTTCATACCTTCACGCATCCTCAAAGAATTCAATTTTCTTTTCAAGAAAATTCTATGTGTTCGATTTGTGAGGGACTTTATTTGATACAAGCTTTCTAGCTTTGCCCATAAATCCGTCGCCGTCTTTTCTGATATTATGTTAAAAAATATTTCATTCGCTAAACACAATTGAATTGTGGCAAGGGCCTTCCCATCCAATTCTTCTTAATCATCATCCTTCATACTTTCTGGTTTCTTGGATTTTCGTTGTAGTTATTTATAAAGATCATGTTGTACCAATATATCATGAACTTTTATTTTCCAACGTTCAAATTATTCCTTCCATCAAACTTCGATACTTCAAATTTGTAAGTAGCCATTTTCCCAAATTACTACACACTTCCCTTGAGCTCTGATATTACTTGTTGGGAACCGAGGGTACCTCGATCACCCCCTCTTTTGCACTGCAACAAATCTAATATCTCGAAACCAATTTGCCAGAGCAAATTGATTCCAAGAAATCTAACACCAAAGAACCATATATGGTGTAGTAAATTTGAGAAAAATATGATGAAATCAAGTGAAGATAAATAGGAAGTCCAATCGCACAACCACACACTACAACCATAATCAAAACACCATAAACACACAATATACATGGTTAATCTAAAATCGGGCTACATCCACGGGCACCAGCAAGGAAAGGATTCATTATTAATGGAAGAATTACAAGATTTGAATAAATACATGAGTTACTTTAAAAGATCCATCAATCCAACCTCCATTGTGGACTCCATCTCAATGGATACACCAACAATAGAAATCACTGATGTAACCACTCGAAATAGGGCACATTGGTAGCTAGGGTTTTGCCCTAAAATTCCCAATCTCTACCTCACAAGAGCTCTCCCTCATAAGCTCTTCCTCTTCTTGTGTTTTTTCTCACAATGACTTTTGTTTGCCCCATAAAAGTTGCCTTTTCGTTTGGAAAAAATTGTCCTTGCCCTTGAGGAAAATACCATATGTCAAATGGGTGGTGATTTTGTATCACTGTCTCAATAAAAAGTGATTTTCTTTTGACATTTTAGTTGTACAACGTTTTTAGTTACAATTTTACAGTGAATACGATTCTTAGAGAGAAGCTTGGTTTCCCACAAATATAAATTTGTGGTATTGCATATGTTTCTTCATTTTTTTGCTTATTGCATATTAGGGTTTATTCAACATAACTTGGACTGCCTGAAACTGTTTTACATAATGATTTTTTGGCCACATACTTCTCTATTTTGATAATTAGGTAAACCTAATAGTTTCATCTTTGTCTTTGTCTAGGAAAGTGATATCTATTTCATATTTTTTGGGATTGTATACTATGAGACCATTTACCTTTGTTACAAGTATCCCTAGCCATCGGATTTCAAATTGGACAGCTTGGGGTGCATCATGAAGTTCAAAAAAATTTTCATTTTAACTTTGAACCTAGTCAATGACAAACTCACAACCACCCGATCTAAAATCCAATGGACAAGAGTGATTGTGACCTCCTTGTACCAAAAGTGAATGGTGTCTTTGTATACTTTTCCCTTTTTTTTGCCTTCTATTAATTTTCCGCTTCATTCTTCTCAGTGTCTTTCATGTGCATATTACTCTAGGTTCTCACTTCCTATCCCCCTTCTTCCTTCTGTCACTATTCCTCTTTCCCTGTTGCCTTCTATTTTGTTCTTCTATCACTTTTTCCCATTGTTTTTTGTCATTTTAGGTTTGTGCTGGCTCCTTGGTTGTAATTTATAGAAAGAGTTTATACAAGGTGTCAACGTTATACTATTGTAGTAAGACACCTCAAAAACTCGTAAGAAAAGGTTGTTCGAATGATACAAAGTCCTTAGATTGATATCTCGACCTCGAGATATACATATATGAAAAAGAAAATAAAAGGATTTTAAGTCATGAAATATTTTCATTTTTAATGCATTATTTGAACCGTCGATTTTCAAAATTTTTAATTGTTTGTATATTTGCTTGATGGCGCCAAGCGTGAGGGAATGCTAGACGTTTGGTAATTTCTCCTCCAACCAGGGTAGACGATCCCACCATAGACACGTTTTTGTCCATTGATTCGTATATATACTGGATCTGCACGAGCTTTAAATTTCAAAATTACAGGTGACAGTAGATTGTCATGCCATTATTAGGCTTTCCTGCACTGAAACAACATCTTTTGGTATAATTTTGAGGAGTACCTTACTGTGATTGATTAAGGTTGATGCCTTATACAAACCTCACCCTTTATGTAAATGATGTGCTTACTTATTGTCTATGAAATGAATAAATTGACTTCACTTATGTTGATAGAACATTCATTTTTAAATATAAATTGGGATGCATTTGACTTTGGTAGAATTTGTCGAGATGAGGGAGTGAGGCGAGAGTGTTGTAGGAATTGGACCGGACCGAACCAGCCGGTTTGAACTGAAAACCAGTTGCTAGACCCGTTCGGTAGCAACCGATTCGGTCGGGCATATTGGCCGGATGGTCCATCGACCGGCCATGGATTGGTGGACCACTCGGTCCAGTGTATGGAGGGTTTGTTGTACTAGTTCAATTCCAAACAGGTTGGTGGCATGTTTACCTGTTATGCCTTTTATTTTTATTGAAAATACTCCTTTCATAAAATGTCATTTTAAAATCATTCAAAGGCATTTTTGTCAAATTTAATTAAAGAGAAGAATAGGTTTTAGAAACTGAATTTTTGAAGAGAGGGAGGGAGAGCACTCATTTGGGGAATTTTCTCTCCCTACCAAAACTCCACAATCCCTAGGGCTTCTCTCTGGTGATTTTCCTTGGCGAATCTGGCCATCAATCCACCGTCGTTTGAAGCCCAAGTAAGCGTATCCAACCGCTTTTTTGATTGTTTGATCTATTGTTGGAAAATAAATGGAAAAATTCCCTTTTTTTGGGTTTTGCAATAAATCTTCTATAGAGCCTTGAATCTCTGGATTTGTGATCATTTAATTTCAATCCAATGTGCATTATGTGGGAATGCTTTTTCGTAGTTATTTTCACTTGAAAATGCTTTTTCTTATGTTTTTATGTGCCTTTTTTTGTGGGTTTTTATATGCCTTTTTTTGTGGGCTTTCTATCTAAAAGTCATTGACATTTCCTTAAAGCAAGAATTTTCTGTTTTTGACGTTTTTTTTAATGATTGAATGAACTTTGAAGTTGATATTTTTCCTTTATTAGGGATATTTTGATTTAGGGATAATTGGATGGGTCCTCTGGTATTAGGGATATTTTCTTTTTAAGCTTTTATGTAAGTGATTTTCCAAAATAGTAAAACGCACCATGAAAGGCATATAAAAATTTAAATCTGTTAGAAGATATCGTGAATCATAGACTTACATTTTACTCATTTTCTTGAAATTTTCTGATTTTTCCATATTTTCTTTGTGTGCCCCCCTTTTTCTTTATTTTCTAGATATTTTTGTTAATTTTTTAATTTAGTGTACTGGTCTGACTGGTGAACTGGTCCGGTTTGGTTGGTCCAATTAGACTGGTGCCCTCACCGGTTTAGTCACGGTTCGGTCTTGGCAACACTGTTGAAGGTCCTTCCCCTTATTTTCTTCCCCCATCCTTAGAGGAAAAGCAGGTCGCCATCTCTCCCAAGCAGTTTCAAAGACTTTCCCAACATTTCCTTGATATTTCCCAAGCGCTGAGCCTTTTCTTATCCAAATGATAGAATATAGTCCAATCTTCAGGTCTAGAGTGGGTGAATTTTGAGTGCTTTGACTTTTGTTATGTTTTTTAACCTAGTGTGTAACTTTTTTATGTGTTACCTGCAGTGTACACTCTAGTCTGTAGATTTTGTCGTGTGTCGACACGTGTTGACACTTGGGTATATTAAAAACATTGTTAGTGCTCAAGGTAAGTTTCAAACACAAGTGATATTGAGATACCATTGTGAGCTCAATCACCTTCCTGACTACTCCATATGTGAAAGAAATGGAAATTATGTTATATATATTAGTAAACTTAATACTTTACTCATAAAAATGTTTCTAGGGATGTGTCTAGCCATATCAACTTTTTAGACTGAGTACTAGACACCTAGGACATTTGAGGGATGTTGACACTTGTGTTGGTGTCTATGTAACACCTGCTTAGTGGGAAGGTCAATATCTTTACGTGACACTCTTTGTTTTGAGATACTTTTAGGTGATACTCTCACTTAAGTATGAAAAAAATTTGAATACTTTTTCCCTTCTCCTGATATGCTGAAAAGGCTCAACCTCTAGTTGGAATATATAAAAACTCGTTTTGTGCAGTGTACAAGTTACCAGGATGTACCTTTACTGAGTGATGGTTTTCACTAGTTGATTATCCTTTCTGTGTTTTCTTGGTCATTATGTCTCCATTAAAATTGTTGCGCCAGCTCCCTACTTGTCTCTCCACAAAATGATGACCTTTGGCTTAGATCATGCAATTAAGTAGAAAGAAAGAAGAAAGTATATTCTGTAACTATGTAATTTGAATGCTGCAATGGTTTTCCAGTGCAAGAATGGGAGTTTTGACTCTGCTTCATAGCCATATTCTTTTTGTATATTTTAATAGGCATGTCTATTCAGTTTCCTCTTTCATATTGATGTTCTTGTAAATTTAACTCGAACCTTTTAAGAAACTACAATTTATGATAGATGCTACCATATTTACACCTGCATTTTTAAGGAACTTGTTTTTTACTATTCAACTTTCCTTCTTGGCCTTGTTTACTAATAAATCACTTGGCCTTGTTTACTAATAAATCACTTACTGTTGATTTAGATGAGTCCTTCTGTCAATCCTAGATCTCCTGCTAGGAGAAGCTCGTCTGATTGGTCTGGTTCTCCTCCAAGAAGGCAATCCTCACCATATCCTCGTCCTTCCCGTAGAAGAAGCCCACCTAGAAAAGAAAACTTTCTCTTCGGTCGGAGGACTTCCCCAAGATTGAGATCACCTGATAGAGGTACTTATCACCGAACAAGATCACCGACAACCGAAAAAGTGCGCAGTCAAAATAGGTCCCCCAACTACTTGAGGTCTCCTGTAAGGTCTGGTTCTCCCTATGCAAGACCTTCTTCTCCTAGTACGAAACACTTAAGGCGAGCTCAAGAAGAAAGAGAGGTGGATGAGTTAAGAGATAGAGAGCCCAAGGGGAGCAAAAACGTGATGTCAGGTTCTCCCCGTTCCCAGTCTCCTTCGCTGCGTACAAAACACTTGAGGCAGGCTCGAGCAGAGAGAGGGATGGATAAGTCAAGAGATGGAGAGTACAAGAAGAGCAAAAATGCAAGGTCTGGTTCTCCCCATTTGCAGTCTCCTTCTCCCCGCACGATACGATTGAGGCAAGCTCAAGCTGAGAGGGAGGCTGATAAATTAACAGATAGAGGGCAAAAGAAGAGTAACAATTTAAGGGTGGGTTCTCCCCATTCAAGGTCTCCTTCTCCCCGTGCAAAGCACCTGAGGCGACCTCAAGAAGAGAGGGAGGCAGATAAGTTAAGAGATAGAAACCATAAGAGGAGCAGCATTGTGAGGTCAGGTTCTCCCGATTCTCAGTCTCCTTCTCCCCGTACAATGCGCATAAGGCGAGCTCAAGAAGAGAGAGAGGCAGATAAGTTAAGAGACAGTGAATACAAGAAGCGCAATAATGTAAGGTCAGGTTCTCCCTATTCTCGCTCCCCTTCTCCACATGCGAAACACCTAAAAAGAGCTCATGCAGAGAGAGAACTGGACAAATCAGACAGAGAGCACAGGAGAAGTGACAATAAGGATGATGATAGGGGGAGGCATAGAGAAAGGGGCTCAGATAAGGACTTAAGCGTTGAGAGAAAGTCAATGAGGGACATGCGAGACGACTTCTCTTCACGATCAAAGCATGGTCGTTCAATTTCTCCTAGGGATCGTGGACATTGGAACAAACGTGGGTCAGAGTCACCTCCTAGAATAGCCAATGACTATGGAAAGGATCACCACCAATCTGCCAAAGCTGGAGCACGTGACGAGGTGTCTGGTGATATCCAACTTTTGCCTTCTTTCTGCACATCTTGTGCTGTTATCTCATTGTTTAAGTTGTTGTGTGGGTTTCTTTTGAATATTTCTCTTATTTCTATTGGTGTGGTGTTAGGCTCATCTGTATTCTTGGAGTATTACTTTTTCAGAGCTTTACCCTGCTTCTCATTTTCATGGTCTGTCATGAATGTCCAAGTTTAGAAGGAGCTTTTCTTTCATTGGCCAGTTGCCATGGACATTCTAAAATACAAAGCCTCTCAGTTTTGTTACCTGCTAATTTTTTTGGTTTCACATGAAAACCATGGGGTAGGGCTTGGATTGTATTAGTCTTTTAAGATTAGCTGGATAGGTGATTGTTGTCTTGGTGAATTTCACAGAGTTTGTTGGTAAGGGCCTGTTTGGATGACAATTTATTTTACTTGGCGTAGCCTATCTTAACTAAAACTAATGTACTCTGGATAGCATTATCACGTTAGTTGTTTCGTATGTATCTTAAATTATGTATAATATTTTCTAATTATTTAACTTTTTCAAAAAAATTGAATTATTTAACTTTGTCCTGTGCATTCATCAACATTTTCACCTCTGTGTTCATTTAATTTCATAATGATTGCTATCTTGCCTAGCCAAGCATTTGAATTCGTAGTTTTTCAGTTTTTAGCTATTCTATGCTGTGAACGTTTGTATCTTATAATTTTAATATTAACTCCAATATTTTTGAAGTACTTTGTTGTTTTGTGCACCTTCATTATCAGCCAAATAGGAAAATTAATGAGTGTTTACTTGGAGTTTTGTATTCTTCACTTTTCATGCTACTTATCATTGGTGCAGCCTTTAATAGATGCCATTTTTTTGTGATTCCAGGTAGCACACCAAAGAGGAGAACAACAGCGGTGAGTTATTTTCACTTAGATTGTATTCTTGTTATTTCATGACAGTGTTTAGGATGCCTTACAATTTTGATGCCTGCTATGTTTTCCTCAGACAATTAAATGCCAAAAAAGTTCTCAATCTGGGGTAGGGTGTATTGCGATTATGGTGAGGATTTTGTTGCAGTTTGGAGTGTTTTGGATTTTGTGTTAATGGCATGCACTCTTTGTGGTTGCATCCAAGGCAATTAATGGCAATATTTGTTTGAAAGTTAATGGTCAATCAACAAATAATAGATGCAAACTGTGAATGTTTGGAACACCATGTAATTCCTTGAGATCCCCTGTGGCAGCTCTGACCCTATGTTAGGATTGTTATTTGAAGTTGGGGAAATCGAGATTATCCATTACGAAGCTCATACATGGGTTGCGTAAAATTATTAAAATAGACAGTTGTACATAAGTAATATTCACTCTGAATAAAATATTAAAGAGATGAAGATACATAAAGTAGCCATTCTTTGGTCTTTGGAAATGTATGATGATGCTGTTACTGAGGAGTTGTAATATTCTATTGAGAACCATGCGAGCACCTTTTTGAGGAGATCTGTGATTTAGTTAGGGCTTTGTGACTTGAGGGTCAATCATGATCAGAAGTCCTCCCACTGGTTGGCTAATGAACTTGCTTAGGTGTTAAGTGAGGATTGAGAAATTGTTTTTGAAACTAGGATTGAGAAATTTATAGAAAACTTTTGGGGGCTCTGTACAAATGACCTAGATAGTAGTGAAGTTGGAAAAATGCCTTGTTTTCTGAAAGTAAGCAGTCTGTACTTGCAGTAGTATATATTTCTACTAGGAGGTAGGAATATTACTGTAGAATGTTTTTAAAATATTATGAGATCCAGGATAGTTTCACTTCTTCTAAATTATAAAACTCTCATAGGCCTAAGTGTGCCTGTGATCCTCCCAATTTAACTTTTAGTTACCTGAATCTGTCATTTGTGTGAAATTTATTTATCATAGAAGATTAAGGCCCTACACTTGTGGTTAATGCCAACTGCTTAAATTTCCTTTTGGTTATTGCACTGTTCCCAAAGGTAGGGGTATTGTTAGCGCATGGCGATTTGATAAGTATGAGAAAACTTTCTGAATTGTCTTTGGTGTAAATGGATATGTTTTTTCAGATCTGTCTGATATTATTTTCTTTCTTCTCTTGAACAGTGCCTTTTCTTTAATACATTGTAATGCCTGAAGAGTTTGGGTACTTGATGTGACCGATGACTGGATTTATTTTCATGAATAGGGATGGCAATAATGATTCACTAGCAAAGATGAAAGCTGCTGAGGAAGCCCTAGAAACAAAGCCAAAGGTAAATAATACATTCATGAGATCATTCTTGAATCTAGATCGGTCAAGGTTTGTTATAAGTATGTCTCTGTTTAGATTTGCTAGCAAAGTCACGGCGTTATATTATACTAACTGATGAGATTCTTGAAATGCAGCAACAGCCTTCATTTGAGTTGTCAGGGAAGCTTGCTGCTGAAACTAACCGAGTAAGAGGTGAGTTGCCCTCATATTGCACATCGAGATGGTAATGAAGCTTGCTATTGATTGTGTGCTCATTGCTTGGGTAGCATATATGTGTAATAATGCATTACTAAAACCCTTGGTATTGTTTAATCGTCAACCAGCTACTGTGATATTTGTGTTAATCGTGAGTTTTGAAGTTTCTTAGTTTATCTTACACATTTCGTATTCCCTTTACTTGTGCACTTTCCCATCTTCTTATCATTCCTCAGTGCTTAGTCGATGTTGAGGCACATTATGAAGCATTGCTTTTTTTGTTTTTGGATCATTGGCTTTTCCTATTTTTTCTTATGCTGCAGTTAGTGTGATATGCACCTTTCTGAGTGCAACAAGGCAAGTATTCCTTGCCTATTATGCTGCTATATCTCCGCCTGGAGCTAATCTAAAATGGGACATATTATTAAGACTGCATCCTCAAGGGGTTTTCCAAGCGAAGGGTTCTATGGTAGCTGAAATTTCTCCTTTTGCAGGTGTGACTTTGCTATTTACTGAACCACCTGAGGCTCGCAAACCAGATATAAGATGGCGATTATATGTATTCAAAGCTGGTGAAGTGCTTAAAGGTGTAAACTTTTTTCCTGAATCGGGTTTGTGATTGATTGGTTAGTTGTTAATGAACATTACGTCCCATGTTCGATTCCTACTGCTGAAATAACCCAAAAAGTAACTCCTTTCTTATTATCATACTCGATGGAAGTTTGCTTACATTATTTATTCTGCTTTACTATTTTGCTCCGCTCCCTAGCCTTGATCATTTCAACTTAATTTGACCTCTCTTTATTCAATTAAGCCGAACTGTGATGGTGGTAGACATTTATTAAGCAACTTCTGATACACATGCCCCAATGGAGCCTAGCAATTATTGGGGCATGATAATCAATATTCTATCATAGTTTGAATACACTTTAAGTATTCACATTGCCTAATGTGGTTATGCACTTTTGTTAGAACTTAGGGGCATGTGCTTGTTGGGTGGAGTACCTTTGATTAGTTTTGTTCAGGTGTTTTCATAAATGGTACACACACACACACGTGCGCGTGCGCGCACACACACACACACGTACTCACAGGTCACAGGTCATAGCTCACAGGTCGGATATGGTATTTGATCTTATTGTTCTTAGTAAAGAAGAAAATTTTGAAATGGATAAAGTTGCTCTAAAAAGAGACTTTTACTCTCAAGAAAATAGGGAAATAAGAAAATGATACCAAAATGAGTTTAAAGAAAACCTCAAAATCAAATTATATGAAAAATATATAAAATTTGTACAAGAAAAAAAAATGAACTTAAAATTCTTTAAATGGTTAGAATATTTCTTAAGGAAACAAGGAATTCGGTTTCCTAATTTAAAAAAAGAATTAAACATGGTGATAAAAGAATTCCAAGTCTTTACTACCAAAGACGGGAAATAAATCCAATCTGTCCATCCTCTTGAGGTACCTGTAGATATTAAAAGGGTTAAAGCCGGACCCTATAAACTTGAACCAAAAAGGTTAAATCTCACAGCAACGGTAGAGAGTATAAACCATGTTAGTGAACAAAATAATTATACAAATTTATATTTGAAAAGCCTAGGTAAACAAGTATCTAGGATAGAACTCATGGTTAGTGAAGAAGATCTCAAAAAAGAAAAGTCTGAAAATCCAGAAGGGAAACTAGACAAGCATGAAGTCGGTATATATATATAGTCTTTTCTCATTTCATTGTTTTATTAGTGCATTCCTACCTCAAAAAATCTCATTTACGAAATGGCAGAAAATGATGGCCAACATTCATATGGAGGATTTGTTTCCCTGCTAATTTTTTTCTTTTTTCCAGAACATCTTGATTCACGATTTCCTTAATATCTATGTCCTATACCAACTTAACCCATTCATTATGTTCTACTTGTTATTTGGTCATTTAATGTTTAGAAGTAATAATTAGTAATAATTATACTATATTGCAGTAATTCATTCATGTACTTGCTGCTTTCTAATTTGATTAATCTAGGTTGGCAATTTCTCTGTCTACTTTTTTGTGCTCATAAAAATACTCTTGATGTCTTGTGCTAGATAACGGCATTTGATGTATTTTTGCGGAAGGTGTTATAACTGTGTCTTGAGTTAAGAACCCTGGCTCAGACTTTTGGTAAATCCTGGGGGTTTTTAATTAAATACTGTGATTTATCAAGAACCATGGACAAATTATCTGAAATACTGCTATGATTTTGCTAATGACAAGAAAATTATTTTCTATTTTTGGAATTAGACAAACTAGTGTTACAATTTTCACCATTTTCCAATTGTCTAACCTCGGTAAACTTTATTGAACAACATTTCTTTCTTTTAAAAAGAACTTTTCTATCAAAATAAAAGACCAGCAGACTTGAAATACATGGACTCTGCTTATATCAAATAAATGGGCCTTATTTCTGTAAAATGCATACTACTGGAGTGTGACTGATTGTGGAACTTTTAATTGACAATAGTAAACTGTTATTATCATGCCAAGAAGTCGAGAAATTCTAGATCTAGTTATAATCGTGCTGTTTAATGTATCATTGACAATGCCTTTATTATATTTCAATAAAAAGAAACTGCTTCTATTATAAATGTAATAGCAAATTGCAGATGATGCTTGTGAGTATTTTTTATGCTTTTTGGGTTTTGTTTTCTTAAATAAATTTGCTTTTGTGCAGAACCTCTTTATGTGCATCGCCAAAGCTGTTATCTCTTTGGGAGAGAAAGGAGGGTTGCAGATATTCCTACAGATCATCCTTCTTGCAGCAAGCAACATGCTGTTTTGCAGTATAGGTAATGGCGCCTAGTATTTGGCTCATATAGAATTGTGTAGACATGCCTACTGTACATTTTTCGGCAAAGATTTATTATTTCTTCATTGTATTCTCTCATATTCTATTACAGGCTCGTGGAAAAGGAGGAACCTGATGGTATGCTGTCAAAGCAAGTAAGGTAGGGCTTTATGTCTTCTCTCTACACCTCTGATAGTGATATGGGTATCTGTTCCAACGCTTTCTTCAGTCAAATTAAAATTTTCCTTCCTATATTCCTAGGCCCTACTTGATGGATCTTGGTAGCACCAATGGAACTTTCATTAATGTAAGTCTCATTCGCATATCTGAATTTCTAGTTCTGTTGTTTTGTTGAAATGGGACTAACATGTATGCCTTTCTTTTCATTAGTACTTAATTAAACCTTTTGTGGGTGCAGGATAATCTTATGGAACCTCAACGTTATTATGAACTTTTTGAAAAGGACACAATTAAGTTTGGTAATAGTAGGTAGGGAATAGACTTCTGGAGTGTGTATATATCAGTAAAAATATACCGTGATGCGTTTGTAGTTTACAAAGAGTGAACTATTTGTCACCTCAATAGCATGCGTCACTGTTTACATTCCCTATATGCAATTTATCTGCAGCATTCATGTGGTTTAACATCATGCTCTTTGATAATGTTAGGTTTCTATCAATTGCTTTTACCTGTTAGGTTTTCACCAGATTCTGCTATCATCTTTTGCCCATAGACATCTTTATTTCTTTTGTGGGCAATAAATGTTTCTGGTGTTTTGGACAATTTGTTCCTGCTAGTGTTTGTCAAAACCCATTTTTTTAATGTTTATTCTCTTGTTGCAAGGACTCTGAATTGATTTTCCTATTTAATATTATGGTCGTTCTAAAGAGGAGTCTTATTATTATATTTAGATTCATTTATACTTGTCATCTGCATGCGTGTAGGCATATGTCTCAGCTACCAATCATGTGTGTTATTTGGTTCATACATCCTTCCCATGCTTACCTGCTTGTGTTTTACCTTTATTGTGTAACCCATACAGGGAACAGCATAAAAAACCCATTTGACCATATCTTAAGTCTTACCTTGCATTGGAATGCTTGAAAATTTCATAAACACACACACACAAAGAGAATACTTATGGCATATTCCTCATTTCTGGAACTAGTTCCTTGTAATGGTGCAAGGAAAAGTAACCATTTAATAGTGTTTGTATTTTTTATTTTCTTTAGAATATTGGAGGTTCTTGCAGTCAGGCTTAGACTCCAAATTATGATTTAGACCCTAGATCATGGTTCCTTATTTCTAGTTCATTAAAGGAAGACCTGGAGCAAAAATGTCAACTTATTCAAAAAAAAAATTATAATATAGCTAAAAGGAGCTGTCTCAAGCATACCAAGATCAAGTTTTCAGGGTTAAAGGGGGATTTGTATAGGATTTCCATGCAAGATATTGCATATATATCAAAGGGAAAAAGGCAACAAAAGGGATTGACAAATAATAGCTACATAATCAGACTTTATAGTGCTTGTATTACTGTTCATACTTATTAATTCTTGAAAGGAAAAAATGGAGCACACATTTTATACTTGTTGGCTTTGATTGTTATCTTGGTGCTCCACTCAGTTATGGACTTGCTTAATATAAAAACTTATGTTAACCTTTTGTTTCCAACAATGTTTTGGTTTAATTTAGTGAATCTTTGTTTGATATAGGTTTAGTTCATTTGTTATTGGAATTCTGAATAATTCCTTTAAACCTCTCTGTTCTCCTTTTTTTTTTTTTTCCCAGCCGAGAATATGTAATTCTGCACGAGAACTCTGCCTGATGATGCGCTGGGTTATGACAAATGATCAGGCATCCCTTCCATGGTTTTGGTTCATGTGTAGAGCAGCAGAGGTGTTCAATTATGTTCTTTTTTTTTGTCACCATGTTGTATTTATGGGCTTGAGTTTCTCCAAATTTTTGAGTGATGGATATGTAGCCTGGATATTAGAAGTTTGTGATATTTATGCCCTCTTTTCTATCAGTCAAAATTTAGTCTGTCGCCTAGGTTTCTTTTTGTTGAAAATATCGGTAGAATTTTGTATTATCTTAATATAATGAGATATCTTCCCATGGTTCGCATTGAATAAATGAATTTATGCTAGTGTAAGTGATGCTAATAAACTTGTAAATATAAGTTACGAAAACAAGGAAGTACATGTCATGAAGGAAAGTGGCTTAAGGTTTCTGATATTTGAGAATGTTGTCTTTAAGGGCCAGTTTTGGAAGCCTGTTTTGGAAGGTGGTATCCACTTTTTGTAGCACTTCTGTGTTTAATAACTGGAAGTGTTACAATGATTTTATCAACCTGAAGTACCCTTATCCCTGCAAAGAGGATACCGCCGCTTCCATCCATCCCCATGGAAGCGGTGGTTTTGGAACTGGTACCTGTGTGACCATTTGAGCAGATGACAACCCCCCTGTAGCATCCTTTTATTCCCCACAACCATTCCACCATTCCCCGACGGCCCTGCTACACTCTCTCAACCCAACCATCGCAATCAGCAAAAGGTAGAATGTCTCTCTGCCTCACTTATCTCTTTTTTGCTGTAAATTTTTTTCCTTGCAATGAAGGACTACGGAAGAAGCTCATCTTCACCAAGCCCATACCTTTTGTAGTTTAGGTTTTTTTCTGTCGGTTTATGCTTTTATTTCTTCTTGTAAATTTTTTTCTGTGCAGTGAACCTCTCTATCTCCCCGTCCCTTTTTTTGGTTGACAATAGGATTGGTGTTTTGGTGGACTTATATGTAGCCTTAATCCTCATGTTATAGTGGACTACACGACTAAATTGTCTATAATGCGCAGTGCTTTTATATGTTTACAATCATTCTCATCTCGAAAATGTGCAAAAATTGGACGCCATAGCCATATTACAATATTCAAAGATTGAATCAATGCCCTAGGACTACTTCCCTAAAACAAAATAATGATTAAATATCTAAATTGCATTATTTTCAAATAAAGAGAAAAGGTGTGCACTATTATGATGTGGATTCTAAATAAAAAAAATTATATATTATGACAATGTAACTTTGTTACGTTTACATTATGTGCCTATTTTACTTTACATATGAATGGATGCTGATGATTGTTGCTTTCTTAATTATGGATGATTTAACTAGGCATTTATAAGATGAGGCACCGTGGCGTATGTTGTTCATAGACGACATCGTTTTGATCAATGAGACCTGAAGTGGCATCAATAGAAAGTTAAAATTTTGGAGGGATGTTTTAGAATTTAAATGTTTTAAAATTAGCCGGACTAAGATATAATATATGGAATGCAAGTTTAGAAATAATAGGAGTAGAGATGAAAAAGTAGTTAATATTGGCAGTCAAGAAAAACAAAAAAGATGGTACTTTCGATATTTTGGGTTGGAAATTTAGGAAAATGAGGAGATCGAGAAAGATGCCGCATATATAATTAGATTTGGGTGGGACCCAATGTTATTAAATTTGATTCGCTTCGGTCGAAGCTTTCGGAGTTTAAGCATAAATCGAAGCGAAGAGATGCATGGTGTTGCCGCTTCGGTCAAATTTGGGTCGTTTCTGGTTGCTTCGGTCGAAGTTTTGGGCTGCTTCGATCAGAAAAGAACTACCTATATAAAAGTATTTTTAATTTTTTTTTTAAATTTTCATTTTTAATTTTTTTCATTATATATAAATATCTAATTTATTTATATTAAATTAAAAAAAACGAAGTCTGAAATCTGCTCTCGAATTGGATGAAGCACCGAATTACTTTATTTTTCTTGTCAAACCGAAGAAGACTCCGAAGCGAATTTGACAACATTGGTGCAACTAGAGTTTTACATGATCGCTGCATACCAATGAAACTCAAAGGGGGGGGGGGGGGTGGGTTGTTTTCAGACAACTGTGAGAAGAGAAGAGCTTTGCTTTATGGGGCATAATATCGGGTGGTCAAGAAACAATAATACCTATAGGATAAGTGTAGTTGAGATGAGGATATTGAGATGGATGAGCAGCAAGACAAGAAAGGATATGATTCATAATGAATACATTCAAGAGAACTTAGATATAGCTCCAATATGCGATAAGATAGGAGAAAATAGACTAAAGCGGGTTGGCCAAATGCAGTGCATACCTACTACAACCCATGTTAGGAGGAGTGAGTTGGTTGTAGTGGAAGGCTCAAAAAGCGCAACGGGTAGGCCCAAAAGGGCATGGTTGGAAGTATTGAGAAAAGATATGGGAACTTATAGCCTCACTGAGCGTATGACTCTTGATAGAGCAGAATGGCAAACCAAGATTCATGTAGTCAACCCCAAATAGTTGGAAAAAAACTCTATTGATGTTGATGATAATGATGGTGGTGGATGCTGATTGATTATAAAATTCGAACAAATATTACTATGTCATATGATGGAATCTTTAATAAACGGTTGGAACTGGCTCATTTTCAGGTCTCTCAGTTTCCAAATTGCTAGATTTAATCAAATACAGGTTCCCAGAATTCATAGAGGTAGCTTATCAAACATGGTCTTTATTGATTCCATATATCAAAATATCCAACTTTAGGAGTCCAGAAAACCAAATTTTTAGAAAACTTTCAGTTTCCATTTACCAAACAGGCTCTAAAGCCTTGTTTGGTAATTAAGAATGCTATTTTCCTAGAGATTCTATGTGAAATTGGAAGCTTGAGAAAAAAGAAAATGTAGAAAACAATGGAGTGGAACATTAATTTCTTGTATAATAGGGTGGCTGATTGCAATATTTGGAATTGTTTAGTAACCTTCAAGGAACTTCGGTTGTCACATATGATGAAAGATGAATTGGTGTGAGAGGTTAAGAATGATGGAGAATTTAGTGTTAAATCTGCTTACCTCCCATTCTATGACAAATTAAAATGGAGTCACCCATTGCTAAATAAGATTTGGAGTTGGCCTATTCCTTTAAAGATCAGAACTTTTATTTGGATTCTCTTTCAAGGAAGACATTAACACTGGATAACCTTGTGAAGAGAGGCATAATCTTGTGAAGAGAGGCACAATCTTGGCTAACGTTTGTATTTCGTATAAGGAGAATGAGGAGAATGGAGATAGTCTTTTCTTGCGCTGCCTGTTTTCTTATAGTTTCTGGTGTTGGATCTTTCGATTGCTGGAAATAACTCCAATCATTCCTTGGAGTCTTGGAAATCTTGGAACAACTGAGTTTTTGGTTCTCAAAGGTGGGAAAGATGGTTTGGAAAATTTCAAAGGTAATTGTTAATTTGAGAATTATGTTGGATAGAAATAGAAGAATTTTGAAGGAGCTGCTTTTGGAAGAGGAGGTGGTAAAAAGGAGGATCTAACACGATATGTGGAGCTGGTTTTCTATCACAAAGGAGTGCTTTGGTGTTTCCGAAGCAGATGTTGTTAACCTTTCCAATTTGATTATGCATAGGGTTATTAAGGTCAGACTAAAGGGTCGACAACAAGTTTTTGTGCATGACAGTTTGAAGTTGAACTTTGATGATAGCTCGTGTGGCAATAAGGCTTTGGGGGTGATAAGGGATTCAAACGAGGCAGTTATATTATGCTATACTGGCCCTTGTGGTTTGACAACTGCAAATTATGCAGAGCTCGAAGCATTATTACAAGGGCTTCGATTGGTGTAACAGAGGTTTACTTTTAGAGGTTTACTTTTATTCCTTTTTATGTTGAAGGAGATTCTCTTAATGTTATTAATTAGTGCAACACGGATTTTAGAACACCATGGAGTCTTAAATCCAAGTGGATGGAGATAATGGACATTTGTGCACAACTAAAAGTGTCTTTTAGGCATGTTTATAGAAAAGCAAATGAGATAGCATATAGTTTGGCCAAAAGGGACGTAACATGATTCTTTATGAGGTTTTGTTTGTTTGAGCTTTCTTCATGTTGTACTTCTACTTTTAATAAAATAGAAGTATCCTTGTTAAAAATAATAGAAAACTGTCTCTGAAAATCAGAGAAAACTCGGGCTAGAACTTAGGCAAAGAGAGATTCAGAGAGATCGTGAGGTTAGAAAAATAAAAGGTGGATGAGGGGGTTTCATAGTTTCCCTATTTTTTTAAGAAATTGGCAACGCACCCCTTGGGGTGTGCTGCAATTTTCCCCAGAATTAGGGAAAAGTGTGGAGATGTGGGCGTCTGCCTTTCAAGGCTTTTTTCCATTCCCAAACAGAAGAAAACATGGTATTAGAGATAACATGTTGTTTTCTCCTATTTTTCGCCCAAAAGTTTTTGTTTTGAATGGATGAAGTGGATGTATGCAGGTTAGTGCAACATATTATTCTATCATTTCAATTTCCTCATACTCCTACTACCCATATTTAGTAAGTCTTCGATTAAAACATCAGATTTTTCGAAATCCGTTAAGAAGTTCGAGTTTTCCATAAGATCCTCAAAAAAATGTGTTTTTTTTTAGTGAAACTGATATAAATTCGTATTTTAACATTTTTTAAAATAAACTTTTCAAAAAAACTTCTTCCTTGTACTTTTATTTCTTCATTAACTTAGTATTATTGAATTATGGTTTAAAGATAGAAAATTTGTTTCATGCGGACTGGATCACATTTTTACATATGTGGTCCAGGAAGTGTAGGGCATCCATCTTAAAGATGGATGCTAGTAGGTGTTTCATATAAAAACAATAGAAACTATCAGTCCAAATGCTTTCTTACTAGAATTATTATTTGTAGTTTTTAAAATTTATTTATTTTTTCATATTCATGATCTTCATGTTAGACATTACATGCCTTTAAAAAATTAAATCTTAAAATCCATCTAAAAAAATAAACTTATTAAGAGGCCCGCATTCTACATATGCGGGCATGGCGCATAGAAACCGGGTCCTTAGGCACATTAACGGGGGAGTATATTAACCATCTTGGTTTAACAAAAAATTCCATCAAAAAATTTCACTAATAAGTTCTCTTAAAAAAAGTGTATGAAAAAAATACAAGCAATTTATTCTCCAAAACATAAGATATCAAAATAATCATATATCTCAAAATAATAGGTTAGTTAGAAGAAGAGTAACCCAAATTTTTTTTCTTCTTTAAACTCAAAGCAAGAGAGATGCAATGATACCAAAGATTTAAGCATCTAGGAATTTAGTGTAAGATTAGAATTTTTTTAAGCATTTTGTTGCTTTCTTTATGCAT